GATCCTTTGCCTTTTTGGTTAGGTTTATTCCTAGGTATCTTACGGTTTTGGGTGCAATTGTAAATGGGATCAACTCCTTAATTTCTCTTTCCTCTCATTGTTAGTGATAGAATGCAACTGATTTCTGTGCATTGATTTTGTACCCTGCCACTTCTCTGAATTCCTGTTCTAGCAATTTTGGGGTAGAGTCTTTTAGGTTTTCCACATAAAGTATCATGTCATCTGCAAAGAGTGAGAGTTTGACTTCCTCTTTGCCGATTTGGATGCTTTTTATTTCTTTTTGTGGTCTGTTTGCTGAGGCTAGGACTTCCAGTATCATGTTGAACAATAGTGGTGATAGTGGACATCCCTGCCATGTTCCTGACCTTAGAGGGAAAGCTCTCAGTTTTTCCCCTTTGAGAATATTTTCTGTGGGCTTTTCATCTGTGGCTTTTATGATATTGAGGTATGTACCCTCTATCCCTATATTTTGAGGAATTTTAATCAAGAAAGGATGCTGTAGTTTGTCAGATGCTTTTTCTGCATCTATTGAGAGTATCATATTGTTCTTGTCCTTTCTTTTATTAATGTAGTGTATCACATTGATGTGCAGATGTTGAGCCACCCTTGCATCCCAGGAATAAATCCCACTTGGTTGTGGTGAATAATCCTTTTAATGTACCGTTGGATCCTATTGGCTAGTATCTTGGTGAGAATTTTTACATCCATGTTCATCAGAGATACTAGTCTGTAATTCTCCTTTTTGATGGGGTCTTTGGTTTTGGGATCAAGGTAATGCTGGCCTCATAAAAAAGAGTTTGGATATTTTCCTTCCATTTCTGTTTTTTGTACAGCTTCAGAATTTTGATGACTGCTTCAATTTCCTTGCTGGTTATGGGTCTGTTCAGGTTTTCTATTTCTTCCTGGCTCAGTTTTGGTAGTTTATATGTCTCTAAGAATGCATCCATTTCTTCCAGATTACCTAATTTGTTGATATACAGTTGCTCATAAAATATTCTTTTAATTGTATTTCCTTGGTGTTGGTCATGATCTCTCCTTTTTCATTCAGGATTTTATTCGTTTGGGTCCTTCTTTTTTCTTTTTGATGAGTCTGGCCAGGAGTTTATTAATCTTTTTAATTCTTTTAAAGAATGAGCTCCTAGTTTTGTTGATCTTTTCTACTATTCTTTTGGTTTCCATTTCACTGATTTCTCCTCTAATCTTTATTAATTCTCTTCTCCTCCTGGGTTTAGGCTTTATTTGCTGTTCTTTCTCTAGCTCCTTTAGGTGTAAACCTAGGTTGTGTATTTGAGACCTCTCATGTTTCTCAAGAAAGGCTTGTAGTGCTATATACTTCCTTCTTAGGAGTACCTTTGCTGCATCCCAAAGGTTTTAAACAATTGTGTTTTCATTTTCATTTGTTTCCATGAATTTTTTTAATTCTTTAATTTCCTGATTGACCCATTCATTCTTTAGTAGGATGCTCTTTAGCCTCCATGTATTTGAGGTCTTTCCAAATTTCCTCATGTGATTGAGTTCCAGTTTCAAAGCACTGTAGTCCAAAAATACACAGGGAATGATCCCAGTCTTTTGGTACCAGTTGAGACTTGATATTTGACACTAGTATGTGATCTCTTCTGGAGAATGTACCATGTGCACTGGAGAAGAATGTTTATCCTCCTGCTTTAGGATGGAATGCTCTGAATATATCTGTGAAGTCCATCTGGCCCAATGTGTCATTTACAGCCCTTGTTTCAAGATGAAACCAGAGAGGGAGACAAACCATAAGAGAGTCTTAATCATAGGAAACAAACCAAGGGTTGCTGGAGGGGCGGAGGGTTGGGGAATGGGGTAAATGGGTGATGGACATTGGGAAGGGTATGTGTTGTAATGGGCACTGGGTATAAGACTGATGAATCACAGACCTCTACCCCTGAAACAAGTAATACATTATATGTTAGTAAAAAATAAAAAAATAAATATTAAAAAAAAATAAAGTCCTTGCTCCCTTGTTGATCTTCTGTTTAGATGATCTGTCCATTGCAGTGAGTGGCATGTTAAAGTGCCCTACTATTATTGTATTATTATCAATGTGTTTCTTTAATTTTGTTATTAATTTCGTTTTTATAATTGGCTGCTCCCATGTTAAGGGCATAAATATTTACAATTGATAGATCTTCTTGTTGGATAGACCCTTTAATTATGATACAGTGTCCTTCTTTATCTCTTAGTACGGTCTTTGGTTTAAAATCTAATTTGTCTGATATAAGGATTGCCACCCCAGCTTTCTTTTGATGTCCATTAGCATGATAAATGGTTTTCCACCCCCTCACTTTCAATCTGGAGGTGTCTTTGGGTCTAAAATAAGTCTCTTGCAGACAGTCTCTTGCAGACAGCATATTGATGGGTCTTGCTTTTTTATCCAGTCTGATAGCCTGTGTCTTTTGACGGGGGCGTTTAGCAACTATTGAAAGATACGAATTTAGTGCCATTGTATTACCGTAAAGTCACTGTTTCTGTATATTGTCTCTGTTTCTCTCTGGTCTATGTTACTTTTGGGCTCTCTCTGCTTAAAGGATCTCCTTTAATATTTCTTTAAATTTTTTTTTTAACGATTTTATTTATTTGAGAGAAAGAGAGCATGAGCACGAGCAGGGAGGGGAGGGGCAGAGGAAGAAGGAGAAGCTGACTCCCCACTAAACAGGGAGCCCAATGTGGGACTCGATCCCAGCACAAAGGCAGACGCTTAACCAACTGAGCCACCCAGGCACCCCTCTCCTTTAATATTTCTTGCAGGGCTGGTTTAGTGATCACAGATTCTTTCAGTTTCTGTTTGTCCTGGAAGCTCTTTATCTCTCCTTCTATTCTGAATGACAGCCTTGCTGGATAAAGTATTCTTGGCTGCATATTTTTCTCATTTTACACCTTGATTCCGAGACCACACACACTGTGCCACCTAGGATTCTGCCCCACTTCGCCATCTGAGTGCCTTTCAGGCTGGGATGTCCCTCACTGGAGCAGACTTCTAAAAGTTGCGATTTTGCACTCCACTGCTCTATCACTTTTGGGTAGCTGGCTTACGGAGGCTCCCTCCCCCCACAGTTTATCTTCCGATATATCACCTCCGATTCACTTCTCTGCACCTACCTTGTAGAAAGTGGCCGCTTTTCTATTTGTAGAGTTGCAGCTGTTTTTTTTTTTTCTTAGATCTCCAGTTGAGTTTGCAGGTGTTCAGAATGACGTGATAGTTATCTAGCTGAATTCCTTGGACCAGACAAAACTAAGGTCTACTCCTCTGCCATCTTGGACTCCTCTGCTGCCTATTTCCTCTGTCATCCCCATTTTGCTATGGAGCTCATTCTGTAACTTTTTAAAAAGTTCAGTTATTGTATTTTCGACTATTTGGCTCTTCTTTGTATCTTATTTTTCTTTGAAACAACTTTTTATTTTTCCATTTTTTCCCATGAGTGTTCAGAGTTGTTTATTGAAGCACTTTTATAATAGCTGCTTTAAAATCTGAGATAATTTTAACATCTGTGTCCTCTTGATATCAACTTCTGTTGATTGCCTTTTCTTTTTGCCTGTTGAAACTTTTCCAGTTCTTCACATGCCTAGTAATTTTGGATTGTATCCTGGGCATTTTTAATGTTAGGATACACTTGCTCATATTTAAATCCTGTTGAGGATGGTGCTGTTTTTGATTTTCGAAGGCAAACAACCTCCTTAGGTTCATACCTCAGCTTCAGCCTGCCGCCTTTGTGCTAGATTTGGTAATATGGAGGTCACTGGTTCCAAAGTAGTTACATTTTCAAAGCCTTTGTGGTGCTATTCCGATCTGTCTCATGTGTGCCACCCTGAGGTCTGGATGGTTGTGTGTTTAGTTCTCAATATCTTTTGCATCCCAGAGGCAATCAAATCCACAGAGGATCAGATCCACAGAGGCACAGATCAAGGAGTGAGCTCAGGATTTCATAAACAACTTTAAGGTTTTTCTTAATTTCTTCCTCTTTGTGATTTCTCTGGTGCTTTACTTTTCTAGGATTTGCCTTTTTGGTTCTCCAGTCAGAAAGCTGGAGATTCAGTTACCCTACTATATGCCATGCATTTCCTTGACTGTACATGTGTCTGGGACCAAGAGGTGGGACAGAAAAGACAAAACAAGACTGGGTTTGCGCTGTCGTCTGGGATCACAGTTATATTTGTTGGAGAGAAAGGGTCCCTTCAGATGAATAAACTTCTACAGGTCCCTGTTGCTTCTACTGTCGCTGCAGCCACTTTGGGATTGCCTCAGGTTTAGAGGGCAAGAGAACAGAAAGAAAAAGAAAAAAGGGGAAAACCTCTATCTTCTTTTTAGAGCATTAGGACTTCTGTTTCCTGCTCCTTGAGTGAGAACAATAGGGCTTCTCCTAGAACCTTCTGTCTTCACTGCCTACTCTTGGGTTTTAGGCTGCATTGCATTCAGGTTCAGGTATACAGGAGGGGCAAAAAAAAAAGGTAAGTTCACAGTGATTTGGTGATATTCAAATTTCAGTCGTCTTCCCAGCCATCCTGTAACTGTTCACTTTTCAGCCCTCAAATATCTGCTCCATGCATCCTGTCAGGTCTTGTAGTTGCCCTCAGTGGGAAAGACAGGGCAAAGTGTGTGTGTTCTATCTTATATAAAACCAGGGCCCTTCCCACCTCCTTCCTAACCTCTACTCTGGATTGCTTCTCATCCTTCAGGAAATGATGGGGTGGTAGCTACTCTGATGGAAAAATTGATGGCTTGTTCTCACTAGTATATTATGTATACTTCAGGATCTTAGGGCTACCACTGCCAAGGGATAGTGCTTTGTCTTTATTCTGTTCGGTATTTGGTATCAAAAGCTGGTGGGCACTGAAACCAGATGGGAGTTGTTATATAAAGTTAATATTCCATTGCAGTCTGAAGGTACATTTTAGATTTTGTTTGCAGGAAGTCATCTTTTTGCTTTTGTGCTCTCACTGTAGGGTAATCATGCTGTCTTATCATACTCTCCTAGGTTTGCCCAAAGGACCAGCCAGAACATCACCTCAAGTCCTACATATGAAAGTGTAAGTAATGAAACCCTTCCCAGGCAGCACACCCAGTCAGCAGATTATCATGGCTGAGAAGGAATTCCTGATCATTGAATCTCATGTTCTGTTCAATGTTTTGTTACATGTCCTATAACGTGTTGATACAGCCCTTATTAGGACCTCTCTTTATCGTCTTTTTAGTCTTTCAAAATAGAGAAGTTGAATCTTACTTCTGTTAGAAAAATGGTTACGGATCAAAATTCCTTTAGTGTTATTTATAGTAGCTGTCTCTTCTTCTTCCCTTCCATCCTTTTTGACAGACTTCATACAGGCTCTCATTCCTCCCACTGTGCTGGTTTGGCTCTTGTCATGGTCTCCAGTGACCTCCATTATTACCAAATCTAGTACTGCAATTTTCAATCCTCTTTTACCTGATTTATCAGCAGCAGGTGACAGAATCACTCACTTCCTCCTTTTTCATACATGTGACTTTCAGACACCACTCACTTTTGTTTTCTCAATTCCACTTCTCTAGGTCCTTTGCTGGCCCCTACTCCTCTACTGGCCTTCTAGTGTTGCAGACCCCAGGGCTTAGGCTTCAGACTTCTTTCCACGTTCATTCTTCTAGTCTTTTGGTCTCATATCTTAAAGTACCATTCAGACTCTGACAACTTAAAATTGGTATCTCCAGCCCAAACCCCTTCTCTAAACTCAGAACTCACAAATTCACTGTCCGAGTAATCTCTTTTTGCATTCTTCCCAGTCCTGGCTCTCTACCTGCTTTTCCTGCAGGCTTCCCCACCTCAGTAAAGGACCCCTCCACTCTTTCAGTTGCTTAAGTCAAAACCTTGGAAAACAGTGCTTGACCTCTACCTTTTCACCTTTTCCCTTCACAGCATACACATTATCTAGCCACTTCTCACGGATGGATATTGCAGTGGCCTCCTCAGGTTACCCTGCTTGAGCTTTCACCTCCCTTTCCACTCCCATCCCCATCATACAATCTATTCTCAAACCAGAGCAGTCTGAGGAAGAAGAAAAAAAAAAAAGTCATACATCACCTAACTGCTCTGAACCCACCTATGATTTTCTTCTGTTTTACTTTGTAAACACCTGAAATGCTGATCTGACCTCTCCCATTACCTCTCTAACCTCACCTCTCTTCCTTGGCTCACTCTACTCCAGCCATCCTGGTCTCCTCTGCTTCGGAGATGACTTTGTGTCCCCTCAGGTAGTCACAGCACCCACCTTAGGGCTGTGCTCAAATGTCTCTAATGGCGAGGCATTCCCTGACCACCATCACAGCAATAGCCCACCCCATCTACCCCAGCCTTTCTTCTCCCTGTTACCCTATTTTTATGTTTTGTTTTGTTTTTTTAAGAGTACTTGTTATTGGACATCTCTTTACATCTGTTGATTGTCTGCTTCAAGTGTGCAGGGATTTGGCCTATATTTATAGTGCCAGGCGTCTAGTAGGTGCCCAGGACATATTTGTGAAATGAATGAGGAAGTTTACAAGAAGAAAGATATTCCCATTAATCTTTATCAGTCCTGATTCGATGCCATGACCTTATGCCTTTCTGTAGGGTTAAAGATTTACTTGCCTTTTTGAGGCTGCGATTTTTTAGTCAATGGGAAACAACAGAATCTAGACTGAGCCATATATTTGGTTTTTTTTAAAAACAACATGTTAATTTTACATTTTATGTTGGAAATGAGGTACAATGGGCATGGAACCAGAGAGAAAAGTAGTTATAAATGGTTATTACCTAAAAAATAATAGTTCATAATTTCTAATTCCAATTGGGAGTATATGGTTCTTGGAATAGTGCCACTTAGAAGCCTAGGAATCTAAATAACAAAAGAAAAGCTTAATGTAGAATGTTCAAATTTGAACACTGTGCTCTAGTTTCTTCAGTTTCCAGAATATTCAAATTCAGTACTACAGCCAGTTAGTCTGCAGAACATTCCAGCAACACTGTCAAGCCAGAGACCGCCTTCCTTGCCCAGCAATCATCCAGGTACTTCAGACTTGTTACTTGCATTGAGTAAGGAAACGTGAGAATACAGGAGTCTGCCAGAGATTTACTTCTGATTGAAAATAGTTATATAGGAAGAATGACGACTTCATGTCCTTTTTTAAGCTCCATGAAGTAAATTCATGGCATATAGATACCATTATGACTGACGTTAGATTATAAAAATGCTTGTGTTGTGCTGAATGTTGTATTTGGGATGCTGAGGTAAATGAATCTTTAGCTGAAGTTTGGAAGTCCTTTTGTTATATATAGATTTGTTGCATGTGGGAGTAGCATTAGAATACCAGTTGTATTTATTTCTGGTTGTCAAGGTTTCTTAGGGTCTTATGTTTGAAGTCTGAATCATAAAGACAATATTAATTGTGCATGTGTTCTTTCTTGAAAAGCACAATGTGTGTTTACTGCTTAGGGTTTTTTTTCTTTTTTTTTTTTTTTTTGCCTAAAGCAATGACAAAGAATGATCTCCAGCCACCCAATTACTACAAGGTAATGGAGTTTGATCCCTTAGCTCCTGCTGTCGCTACAGAGTAAGTCATTTACAAAATGATTAATTTACTTTTCGTCTTGGTTTCCTTTGGTAACAGAGCTAACAGGGCTTGGTTATACATTTAATTTTGTTTAGGTCTTGGCAGAAATTGATGACCTTATTAAAAATGACTTAGGTTTTATGAAGGCTGTTGCTCTTAATGGTCTTATTGTGCTCGGCTTTATGACTAAAAAATAAAAATGCTGGGGGCTGCACATTAAGAAATAACCAGAGCCATCATGTACATTAACGGGTTCCACGCAGATGCCTTGGGAAAAAGTCAGGTTCTCTCCAGCTTGAAAAGGGCACTATATTCACTGATTGGTGACATAAGTAATACCACATTGATGGATTATTTTAACTGTTCTTTAACTACTAATCACAAAAAAAAAACACTTGTTTTTAGTCTTCACTCTATGTCAACTTAAAATGGATTAATAAAGCATTAGTGTAAACATGTCTTCTTAACTTGAAGTCCTTAGAGTATTATTTTATGATTTCATATTGGTCAAGTGTATATATTTATGCAATAGTAGGCTAATTAGAGCTTTAATATACTTTGACGATTACCCCCAGAATTGTTAAAAAGGATTAAAGCAATTTTATAGAAACCATTGTTGGGAAGCTGGCAGCCTTTAAGCAGTATCTTACTTACAGCTGTGTTTTGTTTGACCTATGTGGAATTTAAACCGTGCATTTAAAAATAAATTGCCAAAAATTAAAAACTGGGACATTGTAAAAAATTATATATCTGGAGTTCTGGATTCCTTTGATACTGTGGCAATGCCAGGCCTGCATTTTTATATGCTAGCATTACGTTAGGACTTAGTAGTAGCTGCCTCATTAAGACAAGCTATGCTCTGCAGTTCACCAGGCCCCAACTGGCCCTTTGTCCATTTATTTGATCGGCCCAGCATGTGTTAAGCATTTGAGGTTTTGACCCCTGATTTTAAACCACTAATATAGTGATCCATTTTGGAATAATTTATGAATTTTAACAGACTTAGAGGAGTTCATTAAATATTTTTTCCTAATGTAGGACTGCAAAATTTCCCTAGGTTATTCTGCTTGAGAAAGTATCACTGAATATATTAGTGGCTTAAGGAATTAGAAATCAAATAGCATCCAAAGAGGAAGTAGGAGTTTATTATATTCCAGTTAATTAGGAAATTATAAGTAGATATGACAGTGCAACAGATATTAGATGTGAGAGAGAGAGAAGTTGGAGAGGTGGAGCTTTGGAATTCTCTACCATTGTGGTTCTTACTTTCTGAGGGGGGTAGGGTGTCTCATTCCTTTGAAATTCACCTTAAGAACTTCTCCCTAAGGAAAACCACAAAGTCTTGTAGAAAAAGTTCTGGAATTTTCACATCACTGGTTGTCCATGAACCCTAGGTTAAGAATTTCTGTTCTAGTAGGATGAGTACAATATTTATGAAGTTGTATACATATATGTACACACGATACATTTGGCATCCTTGAACATTATGTGCCAAGGACAATGACTGGTGCCTAATTTATAATGTTGAACAAGAGACAGGACGTCCGCCCCATCCTCATGGAGGTTGTATCTAGTGTGGAAGAAGAAATCATGGGGAAGCTGGGTGGCTCAGTCTGTTAAGTGTCCAACTCTTTTTTTTTAAATTAAAGATTTTTTTATTTATTCATTCGAGACACAGAGAGAGAGAGAACATGAGCAGGGGGAGAAGCAGGCTCCCTGCCGAGCAGGGAGACCATTACGGGGCTTGATCCCAGGACCCTGGCATCATGACCTGAGCCGAAGGCAGACGCTTAACCATCTGAGCCACCCAGGCACCCCAGCGTCCAACTCTTGATCTCAGTTCAGGTCTTGATCTCAGGGTAGGGTCATCAGTTCAAAGTCTGTGTTGGGCCCCATGCTGGGCATGGAGCCTACTCAAAAAAAAAAAAAGGAAAAAAATCAAACGAACATGCATTTAGTTTGCGTTAATGGTATGAAAGAACATGGTGACTTGAAAGTTTAGAACAGGAAGAACTAATTTAAATGAGGGCTAGAGAAAGCTTAAGGAAGTGACATTAAGGTTGAGACCTGCAATTATTAGGTGACAAGTTTGGGAATCAGTGTTGTAGACCCAGGGAACAATGGGTACAAAGACTCTAAGTAGAGAGAGTTTGGACATATTCAAGGAAATGGAACAGCCAAAGCCAAGAGCAAAGAGAGCAACAGGGAGCCTATTACTAGCAGATGTGGAAATAGCAATTTGGAAACCAGAAGAAGGGAGTGCGCAACTGGGATGAACTAGCAGACATGACAACTGAAAACTAGTTAATTAAGTAGAAGGAAATCCTTGGTGTAAAAGCTGTTTTGCTAGATTGATGGGGACAGAAGCCAGATTTTAGTGTGTTAACAGGAGAGAAGTAGGGATGATCAGTATAGATGACACTAGAAACTTCCACATGAAGGGATGGTGGAAAGTGGCTTGGTAGCTGGAGGTTACTGAGATGATCACTCCAAGTAGACACAGGATTGAGGACTGCCTTGTTTTAGAAAATGAGAGATGCTGGATCATCTGTGAATGCTGACCGGTAGGATATAATAGGGAGGCCAGAGGTTCAAAAAGTGGAAGGACTAAGTGAGTAACATGGTTGAGAAGCCAGGTGTAGGTAGGATCACAGAAGCAGATGGTGGTATAGATGAAGAGAGACTTGAAGATTTGGTGATAGGGAGATGAGAAAGTTTCCATACCAAGGCATTTAATTTACCTATTAGTGAGGTTTCTGACCAAGAGTGTAAGAGGAGGGGAACCAGAGATTTAAGGAGTCAAAGAAGTTGAAATAGTTTTGTGGAAACACATTAAAATTCCTGGACCATCTTGGGGCCTTGTGACATTGGTGAACATGGCTTCAACCTGCTATGATTCTTTTGTAAGATTTTTTCCCCCAGCCATGCTCTGCTGTACTGTATCAATGTTGTATTTGTAGGTTTAGATGTTTTCTTAGCTACAGGCCATGTAAGATATATATGAAGAACTGCATGATGCCATAAAAAATTACTATAAATGAGGTACAGAGATGACAATTATAAGCTGAAGGGGGCTCAGGAATTTCGGCTGTAATAACATAGGTTATTAAAAGGTAGAATGTTAGTACTTTTAAATGTTTAGAAACCTGGAAAAAACTGAACAATTTTTTTTTTTTGTAAAGCAGAAAGCAAACTGTCCATATTTGAGCCACATTTTTCATTAAGTCACAAGTAAAATGAATTGGTTATATGAGATACATATTTATAAGATGCATTGGAATTACATTAGGCTCTAAGAAAGCTATAATGTAAGCTTCAAGGGCAGAGATCTGATTTTATTCACGGATATAACCTGAATACCTAAAATGGCACCAGAGTTTTAGTTAAGGTGTTGGTAGTTAAAAGCCAAAATAGTACTTTGATTTATAGTAACCTTTTTGCCATGATGGTTTGTTTGTTTCAGAGCTGTTTATGAAGAAATTGATGTTCATCACCAGAAAGGAGCTCCAAGTCATAGTGACTGTTGAGGTAGACTTCAAGTTATACAACCTACATTCCCCATTCTATAGAATTTCAGTGTAATTGTCACTTTGTTTTTACTATTTACATTTTATAATGGCACTTGAGTGAAATCTTAGTACAAAAGTTTCTCCTAATCATCAAATTGTAATCTTTGTGAGCTTGTTAGCTAAAAATAATGAACCTTTGGAATGTAGAAGCTGGTTTATGGTATAGAAATATTAATGCTAACAAAAATAATGATCAATAGAAACTTCTTAGCACTGAAATAGACATTTATCTTTTACGTATAGTTAATTACCTATTAACTGGTAAAACCCACTCATTGCTCATCCCAGTAGGCCTGGATTCTTCCTATTTGCTGTATTAGTCATCCTATTTTATTTACTAATGAATGCATGGCCACCAGTAACCCATTAACCTTATTTATTCCCCTCATATCTGCCCCCGTGGAAATAGTACATTCCCACCTTTCTGCATTAGCTTGTGACTCTCTAGTTATCTAGGAATGGGGGAAGAAAAGGAAAGAATGCAGGGTGGCTATATTCTCTTTATTCTAGGTGAAAGTGGATGACCAGCTCACTAACTACATTAGAGGTGCCAACTCTAAAATGTAGACCCTGTGCAGCTTTGAGGCCCGGAAGACAAGACCTACCAGTACATCAGAAGCTTGGTGGAACATTTTTCCTCGGCAATAATGAAGTTTCACAGAAGAGTAACAGTTCCAGAGGAATATTTACGCTTCCAGACCACAGTTTAAACTTTATCTCAAAAGAACTTGGGTTAACATATATTCACTTAAAACTTCAGAAGAAAAATCCATTGTACTGAGGCCAAGTAGTTTAATGATAGCATCTTAGGTTTCACAGGGCTTCCTACCTTTAGAAAAGAAATCCTCACACAGCTGTGATGAGTAGATGAAGATTTTTATTACAAAATTATGAAGACTATTGAGTGCCTTCATTTAACTAAGTTGAATGTAAAAGTCAATTTGTACTTTTTTATAATACTTGTTTAGAATTAGAATTATAACTTGTAAAAGCCTTCATGATTTATATTTCAGGTACCCTGAAGAGGTCACTGGACTGTTCATTAAAGTTGCCTTGAAATATGATTCTTTATAATACTAGATGATCTTTTTTTCTCCCCTTTTTACTGTAATATTTCTATTTGGAACAAACACTACTGGAAAACATTCAGAATAAATTGTGCATTCATTTATGTCATAAATTACAATGACAAATTACTATTAAAACAATACTTTTTTTTTTTTTTTTACAGAGTTCGTTCATAGAACTTCTGATATGAGTCTTCACAATTCCACACTTATATTTTAACATTCAGGGACTTGAACTATCATAGGAAATGCTATAACCCTAGTAAACATTTGTGCATTTTATTTCATTTTCATGATGCCAAAATTTCAGAATATAAAATAGCCCTAGAGCCTAAAGGAAAAATACTCAAATCTGAAGTCAGAATGTAATCTCTGGGCAAGGTGTTAGGGTTAAGTGATTCTTCTTCCATTCTGAGCTTTTAAAGTAGTGACTATCCACAGTAAAAGAAAGTAGTAAGCAACTATTTTAGAAATAATAAAAATGGGCAGAAGTTATGACCTGGAGCCTAAAACAGATAACCCTGGGAATAATAAAAATACTCACTGCTACGAGTATGAAGGGCTAGTAATCTGTAAGGGGAGCAAACAGAATTAAATTGAACCATCAAGTCCATGCCTACATATTTAAGAAACAGCAGTTTCTTTTATTATTACTTATCAATATTACTTTTAATTATTATATTACTCTATGGTTTTGAACAGTCATACGTTCTAAATAGGCATGTGGATTCCTTATGACAGAAACCGTTCAATTTTAAGTAGGGTAAATTAGTTGGGGAAAAAAACAGCATTAAATATTTAAAATAGCTTCACATTACTGTAGAATACTTCTCCCCTGAGAAGACAAGATACAGATACATGATTTTTCAAAAATCACAAATCTGAAGCAAGACTTAGGTGCTGACTTCAATTATAGCCTGGAACCGGCAGCTGCTGCCCCTCCTTTGCTTCAAAAAAAGTATAAGAAAGAGTTATGAGATCAACATTCACCATTCTTGGATCTTCAGCAAATTCAGGATCAATGTAGAAAAACACTGGCATATCTACTTCCTCTTGTGGATTAAGCCTTTGTTCCTCAAAACAGAAGCACTAGAAGTTATAAAAAGGTATTTGTTTAGTTTCTATTAGAATAGAAATAATGGTCCATTTCTTAGCTTTAGTAAGCATACTACAATTAAATATTATAAAAAAATTTAACTATAATCTAAGTTCTGTGACAGAATGACAACATTTGATTTTTGCTTTGAGACTCAATGGGCTCCCCCTGCTCAGCAGGGAGTCTGCTTCTCCCTCTGCCCCTCCCCTCCACTTGTGAGCGTGCACATGTGCTCTCTCTCACTCATAAAATCTTAAAAAATTAAAAAAAAAAAAAATTGAGACTCAACAAATTTTGGGGGGGAGGGGGAAGAGGCAGATGGAGAGTGGGGGAGGGAATCTGAAGCAGACTCCCAGCTGAGCACCGAGCCCACTGCCAGACTCGATCCCATGACCCTGAGATCATGACCTGAACCAAAATAAAGACTCCAACCCTTAACCGACTAAGCCACCCAGGCACCCTGTTCCTCTTCTAATTTTAAAAGGAGATACCCATTTGATTCATCTGTTCTAAGCAATGGAAGAAAAGTTTAATGTTTAGAAGAAATGCATTTTCAGAAATTGGCTTCTACTAAACACTGCAGTAAGTTTAGTACTAAAGTTTGCATATTTAAGCTGTACCTGTATTTTATTGAAATACTGTCCAGCTTCAAATGGTACGACATTGTACGTAGAAATTCCAATTACTGGTTTGTCTGTAGGATTCTTAGCTTTATAAAACGCCAGTGCAGTCTCTCCTGGCACTACCTGTTTTAAGGAAATATACATTATCAATACTTATAATCTCACAGCGCCTCCTTTCTCTACTAAATTAGTCATATTATTTTATCTAATCAGACCACAATACTTTATCTAAACTAATATTGAGGGTCAGCAAAATAAATTGTGAATACTACCCATGAGTATCTGGTTTTCAAATTTTACTTGTATGTATCAGGGAAACCAGTGCTCTATTCATAATTAATTGTGGACTGTCCTTTTGTATATCTGAAGTCTTCAAGCAATAATCTGCAAATTATTTAAAATGTTCAAGGAGAGCCAAGCCTATCACAGCCCAAGTCTGACTCCTAAACACTTTACCTAAATACCCTATGACTGACAAAGATTCTTTTTAAGAGGTTACCAACTAGAGTAAATTAAACTTATAACCAGAACAAAACTGACTGAATAGAACTTTTACTTGACCAAAAAGCACGAATACTCTTTTTGAGAGAACACATTTTTTAAAACTTGCAAAGCTTTAAAAAAAATAGATTTCCAAAAGATTATTTGTACCAATTCAGCCACTTTTATCTTGTACACTACTATGTGATTAGAATATTAAAAATCATAACCTATAAAACCCTCAATCATTGAAGAGATTCAGTAATGTTTACTAACCTGGGGGGGGGGGGGACACCCAACATTTATAAGGGTTTTCCAACAAGGGTCATAATGAAGCTTTTCTGGCTATTCCTCAGCTCATGAAATAATTTCAATTAAATCTTCCAGGATTCCAGTTAGTCAAGATTTTAGGAAACTTTTAAGGTATATCTTTTCTGAAGTTGAACATGACTATTTAATATGATTACTTCAAAGCTTCTCAGTTTTCTTTTTTTTTGAGACAGGGATATTTTTTATCTAAATCCATAAATTACTTTCCATTGTAACCAATGATTTTAAACTTTCCCCCCTTATCTATACCTGAGGGAAAGTCAACTACATAGCATCAGAGAGTGAATTCTTAATATGACTCTAATAAGAACAGATGCCATTTTCCATTGTTCCAAACTGACTTTTACTACAGTATCACATAACTTGAAGTACACTGTTACATTAGGTATAGGGCACTGTCAAAAGTCTGTGAGACAGCGAATATCATCCTCAATGGGGAGAAGCTGAGAGCCTTTCCCTTAAGATCAGGAACACGTCAAGGATGCCCACTCTGGCCACTAGTATTCAACATAGTTCTAGAAGTCCTAGCAAGAGCAATCAGACAACAAAAAGAAATAAAAGGTATTCAAATTGGCAAAAAAGAAGTCAAACTCTCTTTTCTCAGATGACATGATACTTTATGTGGAAAACCCAAAAGACTCCACCCCCAAATTACTAGAACTCATACAGCAATTCAGTAATGCTGCACAGAAACCAGTTGCTTTCTTACTAACAATGCAACTGTAGAAAGAGAGATTACAGAAACAATTCCATTTACAATAGCACCAAAAACCGTAAGATACCTCGGGATAAACCTAACCAAGGGGGTAAAGGATTTATACTCTAGGAACTACAGAACACTCATGAAAGAAATTGAAGAAGACACAAGAAGATGGAAAAACATTCCATGCTCATGGATCAGAAGAACAAACAGTGTTAAAATGTCTATGCTACCTGGAGCAATCTATACCTTCACAATGCCATCCTGATCAAAATTCCAATGACATTTTTCAAAGGGCTGGCACAAACAATCCTAAAAAATTTGTATGGAATCAGAAAAGAGCCCGAATCGCCAAGGAAATGTTGAAAAAGAAAAAGCTGGGGCATCACGTTGCCCGATTTCAAGCTATGTTACAAAGCAGTGATCACCAAGACAGCATGGTACTGGCACAAAAACAGACATATAGACCAATGGAACAGAACGGAGAGCCCAGATATGGACCCTCCACTCTATGGTCAAATAATCTTAGACAAAGCAGGAAAAAACATGCAATGGAAGAAACACAGTCCCTTCAATAAATGGTGCTGGGGAAATTGGACAGCCACATCCAGAAGAATGAAACTCAACCATTCTCTAACACCATACACAATGATAAACTCAAAATGGATGAAAGACCTCAATGTGAGACAGGAATCCATCAAAATCCTAGAGGAGAACATAGGCAGTAACCTCTTTGACATCAGCCACAGCAACTTCTTCCAAGATACATCTCCAAAGGCTAGGGAAACAAAAGCAAAAATGAACTTTTGGGATTTCATCAAGATAAAAAGCTTTTGCACAGCAAAAGAAACCGTCAACAAAACAGAGGCAACCCACGGAATGGGAGAAGATATTTGCGCGTGACACTACAGATAAAGGGCTGGTATCCCAAGATCTATAAAGAACTTCTCAAACTCAACACCCAAAAAACAAGTCAAAAAATGGGCAGAAGACATGAACAGACACTTCTCCGAACAAGACACATGAAAAAATGTTCATCATCATTAGCCATCAGGGAAATTCAAATTAAAACCACACTGAGATACCACCTTACACCAGTTAGAATGGCAAAAATTGACAAGGCAAGAAACAACAAATATTGGAGAGGTTGTGGAGAAGGGGGAACCCTCTTACACTGTTGGTGGGAATGCAAGCTGGTACAGCCACTTTGGAAAACAGTGTGGAGGTGCCTCAAAAAATTAAAAATAGAGCTACCCTATGACCCAGCAATTGCACTCCTGGGTATTTACCCCAAAGACACAGATGTAGTGAAAAGAAGGGCCATATGCACCCCAATGTTCATAGCAGCAATGTCTGCAACAGCCAAACTGTGGAAAGAGCTGAGATGCCCTTCAATCAATGAATGGATAAAGATGTGGTCCATATATACAATGGAATATTACTCAGCCATCAAAAGGATGAATACCCAACTTTTACATCAACATGGATGGGACTGGAGGAGACTATGCTAAGTGAAATAAGTCAAGTAGAGAAAGTCAATTATCATATGGTTTCACTTATTTGTGGAACATAAGGAATAGCATGGAGGACATTAGGAGAAGGAAGGGAAAAATGAAGGGGGGGGAATCGGAGGGAGAGATGAACCATGAGAGACTATGGACTCTGAGAAACAAATTGAGGGTTTTAGAGGGGAGGAGGGTGGGGGGATGGGTTAGCCCGGTGATGGGTTTTAAGGAGGGCACATACTGCATGGAGCACTGGGTATTATACGAAAACAATGAATCGTGGATCACTACATCGAAGAAAACTAATGATGTATTTTATGATAACATAATAAAATAAAATTTAAAAAAAAAGTAGTCTGTGAGAATAAAAGAATTGCATTAATGGAGTCTTAGTATTTTGAGATTAAGTTTACATGAGTGTTTCCTAAATTGTGAAACAGTTTAAGTGATGAAAGAAAGTAATTTTTACAATGAAACAAATAATCTTTTAATAACTACTTTAGTCACTTACATATATTTCTGTTTGCTGCGGTCTAAAGTTCCACTGGAGACTTGCATGCACATCTGCATTAAAGGTGACTTTAATAATTCGATCCTTAACAGGCACCATGTTTTCAATCTGGTCTGATGCATGACCTGCTACTGCTGATCCTCCAAGACCAGTAGTCTAGGTATTAAAGATATTAAGAATATTACAGGATAATATATCAATACTTTCAGGTGATGATTTATTGGATAAAAACAAATTTTAAAAACAATTTAATAATCTAGTAAAAGCCCAGTTTATATACTGTCACTGACCACTTCTTATTGTGTCAATGGCTTGACCACCTTTGGGGTGTCAAGGGCCTATATTTATTAGAATCACTTATATTTTTTCAGTAATCACTTGGTTATTGGACATAGTAAAAAATGAGTCATTTGAGAAAGGACACTCCTTACTGATAATAAACAGCTCAGAATTTTAGCTTAACTTTCCATTAAACATATTTCTACTTATTGCCAGTGTTTCATATATACTATTAGTCATTAATAGAAGTAGAAATTACCCACGACCCTATCATTTCAATGAAACTAATTCCATTATCCACAGTCCTGTCTGATCCTTTTCCATATCATAACTTTTATAGCATAGATTAGTTTGTAGTTTCACTTCTGTACTCTGCTTTTCTCAAGCATCATAAGTATTTTTCCATGTTGGTAAATGTTTTTTTAACTTTTTTTCTGTACTCGTATAGTACAGCTTTTATAAATATAATTGGTTAATCAGAAAAACTGATCCCTTTGGCACATGAATCAATCACAAGACATCAGAGTAATCTGTGTCTGACATTTCTTGCCTATCTTCATTGCCACTATTTATCTCCTTATCATCAGAGATGTTTAAAAAAAATCCTTACTTCCAGGGTCATCATTCTTCTGATGCTTGAGGTTGCCAGAATTCTGGTCTCCGGATAATTAATCTGTTACTATACTAGGAAAAAAATACCAAATTTGAGGCTAGGGGAAGACTCCCAGCAAAATGTAGTATTACTATCTTCCACGTATTACACAAGTCAACTAACTGCACTCAACTGCCATGCAACATTACTGAATTACATTATAAACCTAAAAGCTGCTAGGGGAAGATTTTATCCTTGTTTAATAAGTATATTTTCTGCCCTAAAGAGCTATAATGCTTACGCTTTAAGATATAACTCCGAAGAATTTGAGTCACTTGAATAAAGATTCCTTAATGTATTCTGACAGGCAGTCTTTGAATATAGATTCTTCAAATTTGCAAATTTGATAGAAAACTTAAGAACAGAAAAGGGCAATGAGAATATGTCCTGGGCTCTAGTATAGTTCTGCCACTAACTAGCTCCAAGAACTGAATAAATCTTACTTTTAGGGGGCTACACTTTCCATACTCAAAAAAATGTGAGGTCACTGTATTAAACTGTTTATATAATTCTTATTTTTGGTTTTAAAGTTCTGTGATTCCAAAAGTGAAAGGCTCCTTTCGGAATGTCACTATGTAACATCTAACTTGATTTAAGTTTAGGATTACAAATTATAATTTTTATTATCCTGCCCTGCATTTGCACACACATGCACAAAATACTGTCATTCACTTCAGTGTGAAACAGGGTTTCTCAACTTTGCCACTAATGGCATTTCGGGTTGGATAATTCTTTGGGTTTTTCTGGATTTTTTTTTTTTTTTTTTTTTTGGTGGGGAGAGGGGGAATGTCTGTCCTGTGCAGGAGCATCCCTAGCCTCTACCCACTAGGACATCAGTAGCACTCTCCCTGCTCACCTCCCAGGTTGTGACAACCAAATTTGTCTTCAGACATTGCTAAATACTCCCTGAAGAATAAAACTGACCCCTTCTCCCCTCATGGTTTGCGGAGATTTATACTTGTTAATTTTGGATTCAGTTTTATGATTTAACCAACTGCTAGTCTGGGGATTCCTACTAGGTCCAGACTGCCCTCTGCTGAAAACTAATTCACATTCTATATTCATCCTCCCAAATCAAGCTACTGAATACCCCATAAATGCTAATATTAGGAGACTGAAAAGTCCTTTTGACTTCTGCTGTTTTAGTCATTATGGAAAATAATGGCAAGTTAATCCCCAAAAGGAGAGGAGAAGTTAAGCCAGGCATTAACAGTTCTGGCAGTTAACCGGTGATTCCCAAACTTTGCTACACACTGGGAGCACCTGAGGAGTCTTTAAAAAATTACAAATGCCTGACTCCCACTCGGAGTAATTTAATTGGTTAGGGATGTGACCTGGGTGTCAGGATTTTTCAAAGCTCTCCAGATGTTTCCCCCTCACAACAAAGAATTGGGAGAACCACTCTCAAACACTTAGTGAATGAAGTGAATATAGTCTCACTTATGTTTCTTAAACAAATTCCTGGCCCCTTCCCAGACCTAATCAGAATCTCTGGGGTGAGGGAGCCCTAACATGTTTATTAAAGCAGCTCCACTAGTAAACCTAATGCCTAGCCAAAGCAGCAAACTACTACTTATGAATTAAGGAGAACAGATGTGAAATACGTAAAGTCTGCCATTGTTTATGGTTCTCAAATACTAGTCTGCATCAAAATCATCTAGGGGACCTATTAAAACACAGATTGCTGGGCCCCTCCCCCAGAGTTTCTGATTCAATAGCTCTGGAGCTTGACCCAGCAACATACACTAGTTCCCAGGTGATGTGCCGGTGGTTCTCCGTGGGACCACACTTGAAGAACCTCATGAGGGTTTCTGATCTAAAAAGGGCCCTGGGTAAGCAGATTACACTTACGTATTAACAGAGGAGGGGAGCCCCAAACGCCTAACTCATGCCTCTTTCTATGGATTAAAAGTACTCCCGGTTTAAGCCCAATTTACAAGCATACTCCCATTTTTCCAGGGTTAACCTTCGCACATAAACCATACATGGTTCACAGAAGGAATGCACTAATGTAATTTATATTTTAGAAGCGAACACGTGTGTGAGCAGCCAAAGGGTAAGGCAGATTGCTCGGAGAGCAAAGTATAGGCTGCGGACGTTTTCGGTGGTGTAGCTCAGAGATACGGCATTCCACTCTGCAGTGTGGTCGGTATAAGCACGACTGCTATAGGGGCTTGGGTTCTTAGCTTTACCACTAACAACTCTGGTAACTTGGGCAAGTACTTTTTAAAGCCTGTTTCCTCTCTGGTAGCCAACCTCAGACCCTTCAACACGACACGGAGGAGCGATCGCTGTCCAGGGACCTGTCCTGCACCTCCGCCCCTCCTGATGACACCGCCCAGGAGGCAGCACCGGCCCCTACCTGGCAATAAAGCCGATAAAGGGGCACGGCGGCGTAGGACGCCCCCAGCATGCCCACGGCGGCCGCGGCCACGTACGTGAGGACCGTCCTGTTCCGACGCCGCCAGTCTTCCTCCTGCGCGCGTGTGAAAGGGTTCGTGCTCTTCGGCCGCCTTGGCGGCTGCAGGGTCAACTCCCGGCCAGGGTTCGGGCACCTCCATGTCCCAAGCCGCCTCTGCCCCCTTTCAGCACTTCCTGTCCCACTCCTTCCCGGCCTGAGACACGGCTCTACCCTCTCGGCAACCCTGGTCGGGGACCCAGGGTGGCTCCAGCGCCAGCCACAGAAAACAACGCGCCTCCACGCCGGACGCCAGAGCCCCCCCATAGTGCCGGGAGCGAGCTCCCGCCGTCGGGGACGAGGACAGGTCTCGCGAGGCTGGCCAATCTCGCGACAACTGGGAGGAGCTAGCCGCTGCTCCGGCTACAGGGCTCCTCAGGTGGCGGCGCTTGCAGACGGGCTACGGAGGCCGGGTTGCCAGATTGCGGGTAAGTTCGCGTTTTGCTTCATGACTGTTCCTCCCACTTTGCTTCCCTCCAGTGCCTATTCAAAGTTACTTTTAGGGAAACGCCATGCGCTCCGCGGGATGAAAACGCATCATCATTTGAGCTTGTGTCCCCGGTCTTCCTAAACCCACTCCACCACCCTTTGTCTCGACCTAGCGGCCCTCAGCCTCCCGCCGCTGCTTACTGCCCTGGACTTGAGCTCAGGGATCACCTCTTCCAGGAAGCCTGCCTGTGTTCACCACAGCGCACAACAACACTCACGCGTCTGCATTTTCTCAGCCGCTGGGAATCGGCTTCCACGTCTCTGATGCCCCTTAACCGTTTGTCCAGTTAAAATGACCAGCTCTGGAGCAGAGAGACGTTGTCAAACGAGTTTGTCCAGAGAAGAGCGACCAAGACGTGAAGATGCTTTAAGAAAGGACTGAAAGAAATGGGGATGTTCATCTTGGAAAAGAACCCTGCGGGGGATGTAATACCTTTCTGCGCTTGACCCACAGGACAAAGTAGGACCTGAGGGGATCAGACGGCGCAGCCTATTTTGCTGTTATGGAAGGAAACAAACTTCTAGAAAGCATAAAGGAGTGGAGAAAAAAGCCCACATTCTGAGGTTTGGCAGCTCTGGGATCATGCGCGCATCCCACTATCACCTAGTGTCCTTAGGCCAGTTATTTCACCACTGTAAGAAGCGGTGGCCTTATTTGTAAAATGGAAATCATAGTAGTAAATGAGAATATGCTTATAAAGTGATTTTCACTTTGCCTGAGATAGAGTAAAAATTTAGTAATCATTAGGCTCTATTTCTAATGACTGGTGCAGGTATTATTATCCCCCCTTTAGGGATGAGGAGACTGAAAGCCTGAGACATACATAAATAGCATTTATTTAATAAAAAACATTTGGGGCACCTGGGTGGCTCAGTCCGTTAAACGGCTGCCTTTGGCTCAGGTCATGATCTCAGGGTCCTGGGATCCAGCCCCATGTCCAGCTCTCTGCTCAGCAGGGAGCCTGCTTCTCCTTCTCCTTCTGCCTGCAGATCCCCCTGCTTGTGCTCTCTCTCTCTCTCACTGTCAAATAAAGAAATAATTTTTTTAAAAAATCCTTAAAAAAATAAAAAACATTGAATTTATTTAATGCGCTTTTGCATGGGCCAGACCTTGTTCAACCTACTGGGGCTACAGCACAGAGAAAGGCAAACACGATCAGTTCTCTTCCGAAGTGTACTTTTTTTTTTTTTTTAAAGATTTCACTTATTTATTTGAGAGAGAGAGAATGAGAGAGAGAGAGCACATGAGATGGGGGAGGGTCAGAGGGAGAAGCAGACTCCCTGCCGAGCAGGGAGCCCAATGCAGGACTCGATCCCGGGACTCCAGGATCATGACCTGAGCCGAAGGCAGTCGCTTAACCAACTGAGCCACCCAGGCGCCCCGAAGTGTACTTTTTAATGGGGGACTCTGGAGATAATCAAGTAACAGATATATAAATGAGAGAATTTCAGATAACAATCGTACAATGAGACAGTAGAATAGGAGAGTGTGCTTGAGAACAATAATGAGAAGGGGTAGTGAAGTCTTTCTCTGAAGATGTGCCATTTGAGCCTAGTCCTGAATGATGATAGGAACCTACTTGCACAATGACAATTCCAAGCCATGCAGAGGCTCAGAGGCAAGTGAGAGCTAGATAGCATTGAAGAACAAAAATGAGGCCGCTGTGTTCCTAGCATAGTAAGCAGGGAGGAAAGTAGTAGGAAATAAGGTCAAAACAGGTCTATTAGGGGTCACATAATACAGAGCCTTTTAAGCCATGTCCAAGGGTTTGGATTTTATTCTAAAAGTAATAGGAAGCTACTACAGAGTTTAGGTAGAAGCATTCAAGTGATATGATCTGATTCACATTTTTTAAAAGACCTTGGTTATGTTGTGCAGAACACATTAAAGGGAGGTGGGCAAAAAATGGAAGTAGAGCAGTTAGGAGGCAACTGAGGTGAGTAATGGTAGTCACCTTGAGTGAGTATGAGTAATTGATTAACTTGTGGTCAGCACCAGAAAATTGTGAAGCCGGTAAGATCTGACTCTTTCCTACTCTGGCACAAAAACCAAGATGCTATGATTCTACAAATTTATTTGTATTAATGTTTGAAAATCTTTTTCATCTGTATCTACCTTAGTTCTTATACCAGATTGTCAGCTTTTTCAGGACAAGACCTGTCCTATATTGAGTTTAACAGCATAGACTCAGACCTCATGCAAATGTTAGTGTCGTTGAAACCAACAATACATGCCCTTAACCATTTTTTTCCTCCAGACACCCCTTCCATGTAGCAACAGATAGCGGTATAAATGTGTATGTCAGTATAGTGTCTTTGTCTTGGCATCTATTATTTTGTTTTGTAATTGCAAATGAAACTATTCCTTTCCACGGTATAGTAATCTTGATAGCAGTAAAATGGTGTTAGCTATAATTTTCTTGAGTCTGAGTATGGTTGTGATATTGCATAAATCATTATGGTAATTAATGCTAAGTAATGAGTTCTACCGTGAATGGAATAGGAGCACCTCAGGGCAAGGTTAGTACAACCCTTTTCTGCAGGTAGAGATGTTGATTACAAACTTAAAATATTAGGGGCTGGACTGACATTTCAGACTTGGCACCTTTAATTTATAATATCATTCTTTAGCAGTAAGTAATTAAACCTTGTGAACACTTCCTAGTTAGCTATGATCATGTCCAGTTTTACATAAGAGGTAAAATTGGTTGTTATACAAGCCATTTTGGGGGGTGGAGGGAGCAAGATGGGTGAAGGTGGGAAAAAAAGGAAAAATGGGGGAAAAAAAGAAAAAAGAGAAACCATTTGATAGTCACACATTTTCTTTTTTTTATATACTTTTAAAGGTTTTATTTATTTATGTGAGAGAGAGGAAGAGAGAAATCACGAGAGAGGGGGAGGGTCAGAGGGAGAAGCAGATTCCCCGCTAAGCCGGAGCCCGATGCAGACTCCATCCTGGGACTCCAGAATCATGACCTGAGCCAAAAGCAGATGCTTACCGACTGAGCCACCCAAGCGCCCTGATAGTCACACATTTTCTTATCTGATTATTGGTTCTCAGGCTTTCTGAAAACTTAAAGATTATAAAGATGTATCATTTTAAAAATGTGATTTGTGATTTGTAATTACATTTTTTTAGTATTTTTAATGCATAGTATAAATTAAGGAAATTGCTACTTAAATCTTAATTTGTTAGTCACTGAGCTGCATTTCTTAGCTATTTGCCTAATAAAACTAGATCCATTTGGCAATGTGAAACATCTAGCAATTATTCCAACAGTACTAACAACTGTTTATTTGGCTGCTATATATTTTAATAGTCTCCTTATACCTAAAAGAGGAAGAATAATGCATCTCAATAAATAGTAAGAGCAAGTGAATTATAGTTTGAGAATAAGCTGGGTAATCACAGTTTCCAGTGATTGCAGTGACATCATGAAGTTGTCTCAGTAAGTCTTGATATCCTAGTTTCTTATTTCCTGGCAGCTTCCTTTAAGCCACATGTTTAAGGAGTTACTCTATTTAAAAGATTTTTAAAAAGTTTATATATTTTTTATATTCACAGACCAGGTGAAATGAAAGCAGAAATCATTCATCCATACAAGGCATTTTTTAAAAGGAGTATTTATTAAGATCAGGGCCAGCTTTGTGGATAGGTGACCTATGCAGTCATGTAAGAGCCTGCTTTTAAAAGGGCCCTTTGCCCCAAATAGATGGAATGACATTTTAACATAATTCAGGCTAAAGCCATGTCAGCCTTCCTGGGATAAGCAGAGTTAAGGCAGAGCCAGAAAACTAGGGAAAATGGAAAAGCAGAGAGCCCAGTCTCAGGAAGTGAAAGGTAAGAGATAAGGCAAAAGGCAAACTCAGGTCTCCTGAGAATAGTCAGGATATATGAAATAACATCAAGCAAAATCCAAGCTCCTCACCCTGGCCCCTAAGACCCTAGGTCAACTCGACCCTGCCTGCTTCTTGAACTTCATCTACTATTTCTCTCTCCCCACATTCACCATGTTCCAGCCACACTTCTTTGTGTCTGAAAACACCCCAAATCTATTTTGCTGCCTCGAGACCTTTTCTCTGCCTGGAATACTTTGTCCCTCAGTTTTTATCCTGGCTGACCTGTCGTTTGGATCTCAGCTGGAACACCACTACCCAATCTAAATCAGCCCTCCTCTGTCCAGTCACATTTGTGTATCTGAAATCCAGTTTGTTTTGTTGTTTCCTTTTTTATTGTTTTTTTCTCTCAACATTAGAACGTAAATGCCCAAAGAGCAGGGACCTTGGCTTGTTCACCATATAATCACAAGCACTCAGCATGGTGCACATGATTGTACTGAGTAAATATTTGGGGGATGAGTGCACCAAGGAAAGCAAACAGAAGGCTGTCTGGTAGTGTAAGGAAATTTCTGAGAGCAGTGAGCTCTTGCTCGGATGAAGATCCCCCATTTGAGAAGATTAGGACTCCTCCTTTCAAGCAGTTTTCCGGTGTTTCCCACAGGGTTGGTCTGTGTTATAGGAGTTCCTATATGTCCACCCCCAGGGCAAATGAGTAGCATTCCTGAACTGCTTAGATTCTTTCTTTTTTTTTTCTTTGCTTAGATTCTTGAAAGAAAAAAGTTCATTAGCAGTAGGAATATTGTCTTTGGGTACAAAATAAAGGAGATAGTAAAATAACCCTTTGATCTTTTATATCTTGATTTTCTAAAACTTTCGTGTTATTTTTAAAAGATCAGTTAAGTCTAGGGGCGCCTGGGTGGCTCAGTCGTTAGGCGGCT